TTTCCTTTCTGGCCCATGTAGTAAATTTTCATCCAAAACCCCTTACTTATAGTATATTTGAAAATGCATGATACCAGTTTTTATCGCAAAGATCTATATACAGGTTTGTTCAAAGTAGAAAAAAGTAAATATTTCTTATCTGAATTTTCACTAGATTTTAGTATAACCGTCCTGAAAAATCCCGAATACATCATCAAATGTAAATGAGCAAACCCTAAGGGATTAACATCATCAGTCATTTCTTCATGGTAGTCTTTCGTATTCTAACAAGCCTCTTATCAAAAATGCTTTATTTCCTCCAATACGAGTGATAATTAAACGGTGACCTTTACCATTTGGATATTTTAAGCCAGACGAGCATTTGTTACACTTGTTTTACAATATGTCCTTCATTTGTCCATGTTTAATCCAAATAAAAAATATTTTTCTAATTTTCCTTAAATAATATTACCTTCTCCAACAATTAATTTCATCTTTCACCCAAACGAAGTCTAATTCATGTAATGTTTTCCACAATTTGTCTCTTTTAACGTTTGGTAAAGTTTCATCTCCATTAGTGTCTACTAAAAGTTTATCCAAAATAGGTATCTTTTTTGTAAATAAAACGATTGCACTTTTCTGCGGATCAGTTGTTTCATAGTACCGTCTATTTGAATGGGTTTTCTGTTTTCTCTCAGTTGACGGTTTAGGTGCTACTGATGACTCGTCGTTGCGATAGTAATCCTGCTAAAGAGAAACCGCAGGTTCTGACATTTGGTTGACGTACTTTCTCGAGCGGGTAATGGTGCGAAGCTACCATCCGTTGGATTATGCCTGAACGCCTCTAACGCCGTATCCTTTCTAGTCAAAGGTGGCAATGATATCTCTTGGAGTTCCGAGAGTCGAAAGGCTCAAAACAATGCAATCGTAGCTTGCTACGGTTGTCGCACGAGCCCTATTTTTCCATTGAGATCGATTCTTGCCATGTCCGACTAGATCTCTTGACGGACGAACATGGGTAATACCAGAGCCAACTCGGAATTGTCTGTAGACGACTTACGTACCTGGCAGGGTGTTGTACCTGGTAGAGCAGTTTCCACGCTGCAATCTATTGAGACTCAGCCCTTAGTTTGGGGATTCGTCTTGTTGATTAGACGAGACCCCTGTATGTATGTGTGCCTTTCGTTGCTTCAAAAGTCTATAACTGGTTGCTTCTCCAACTCCGGTCATATTTGAACACTTAGAAACTATACTCCGAACAGTACTATTGAAATGTTCATGTACAAGAGCGTCATGAACATTTGACACCAAAGTTTGCATATGCAAGATTTTATTTTAGAAATTCTTCGTCACTGATTTATGATATTATATATAAATTATTTATCCTGATTCATAACAATTTTGCTTTCATTAATTTTCAAATAAACTTATAATAGTATTTGGTTGTGGCACTTGCTTTGCATTTTAATCAATTCTTCCCTTCAACTTTATGATGAATCTACGTCGATATTAATCTTATTTGGTTTGAATTTAAAATATACGAATAATTTTTTATACATACCATTCATTCCGAGGTTGTCAATACAGAGAGGAAGTTGTAATGTGAACAATAATTTTTTTATTGCTTTGACAAATCGGGATAGTTAGTTATTTTATTGTCTAATAGCTATTCCGCATATGATATGAATTTTATTTACTAATTAATATTAACTTATAGATAATGCATTTTATTTTAACAATTTTTTAATAATTGATAAATTATAAGCATTATATGTTAATATCAGTCATCCATAATTACTCGATTCCAGCCTTGATTTCTTGTACATTTATACAGGGTGTTAAAAAAAAAGTGTCACAAAATGAAATGGTGAATAGTATGACCCAAAATAAGCAGAAAAGTCTTAATAAATATATGACCGCAAATTAACGGTTTCGGAGATACGGACCATTTTGTGTTTATAACAATTTTTTATTATTATAAAAAAACAATGATATTTATAAACAATCAATAAAAACATAGAGTTAAATGAGATGTTCAAATACTGACGTAGCGCTTCCCTCGCATTGCCATTTGCACGACCGTACATAAAATGCATGTCAGCTAATTCAATATTAGTGTAAACAGGCATAACGAAAATTTATAAAATTATTTACCCACAACAAAATAATAAAATAATAACTGCAAATAGTATCTATGAAAAAACATCGGTAGTCTCCGATAAGAAAAGCAAGTTTTTGAGAATGAAAAAGATAATAAAAAAAATGATACAAAACACAGAACACTCCGTATCTCTGAAACCATTCATTTGCGGACATATGTTTATTAAGACTTTCCTGCATATTTTGGCCCATACTACCCCCCGTTTTATTTTGTGACACTTTTTTTTAACACCCTGTATAAAATTGGAATTTTGGATTCTTCCTTTCGTTCATACGGCAATTAAAAGCTGTAGCAGATATTAATCATTTATTCTTAGAATGTAATAAAAATGCTGAACATACTATACAATTATATCAACATTTAAATAAACTTCCCTCCCACTTCTACTCTGTCTTCACTTTTAGTTCAAGTAGATAAACTTATTTGTCATTATTAAACTTACTCGAAGTTCTAAAACAGATATTCAAAACTAGAATGAAGATATATAATGCTTGAAATTTTATATTATACTCTTCATTGTTTAACAGACCCCTTTAACCCCCATTTTGAATCAGATTTTTTTTAGAATCAATAGGATTCATCCCCTTATAAAGCTTGATTTTTCTTGAAAATTTTAATTTGATATCGTTTTTCGTTTGAGTTTTTTCAATATTTTAACCACCCTTACCTCCCCATTTTTATTTATTTATTAATTTCCTTATAGAGTTTGATTTCTACTAAACATCTCATGCATGTTGATATCGAGTTTGGTTTTTGATTTCTCTTTTTTTTTATTTCAACTTCCCTTGACCCCCATTTTATTCAGGCTTTTTAAAATAAATAGGCTTTGTCCCCTTACTTGATTTCAACCCCCCTTAACCCCCCATTTTTATTCAATATTTTTTTCAGAATCTATAGGCTTCATCTCCTTAAGAGCTTGATTTTTACTAAAAATTTCATATTGATATCGCTTTCGTTTTTGATTTATGATTTTTTTTAATTTTCACACCCCTTAAACCCTCCATTTTTAATCAGATTTGTTTCAAAATCAAAGGGCTTCGTCCCCTTATAGAGCTTGATTTTTGCTAAATACTTCAAGTCGATATCATTTTTCGGTTAGTATTAGGATTTTTTTTTATTTAAACCCCCATTAACCCCCAATTTATTTAGTTTTTTTTTCAGAATCAAGTTTCGTTTTTGATTTATATATTTTTTAATTTCAACCCCTCCTTAACCCCCATTTTTAAAACCTTTCAAATTAGTGACATATCTGTCTAACTAAATATTGTCAGTACATTTTTAATGTTTTTTAAGTCATAAAAATAAATCTTGTAGAGTTTCTCTAGTGAGTCGTAGAAAAAATAAAATAAACTAGCAATACTTAAAAAAATATCGGTTTTAGAGTTATTAGAATTACGTTTTATATTTTTTTTGTTGTCTCACACCTTACCAACCTAAAAGCGATGATTTTATGAGTCGTGAATGAAATAATGAAACACGTATCCCATTTTAATTCCAACGAATCTTCCCTGTTACGGCTTCCCAAGTTTTAAATTACACCAATAAACACTTCATTCACCAAAACTATAGGCCAGAGGAAATCTGCTTAATTTCACATCGACATTTCCCCAATAAATTACATAATTGTATAAAGTGAGGGACAGAAAAATTCTTATTTAGCGCAAATATCCCATAGAACGTCCAGAAATAATCCAATTAATTTTTTTTTTCGAATAATTTGTGCGTTAATTTTAGAAATAGTTATTTTAGTTCAGGATCAGTTTTAAATATAAGTCGACCTTAGTTTTTTTTGTCTGTATGTTTTGACATTAGTTACTTGTTCCAAAAAGCAATTTGTACAAAAATAGATTGGAGACCATTTCAGAATCAAGTAATGAAAAATGTTAAAATATAATAGGTCCTATATTTCATGCGCATCATTATCTTGTCTTACTAAATAGCTCTAAATGTGGAGATTTTTTATAGATATTTGTTGTCAAAAATTAACTTCTGAACATGGTTTTTAATTATTTTAATACTATTTTAAAACGTACTGTATACGTATACAAATACAAAATGTATTTAAAAATAATTATTGTAATTTGTATCGAATCAACTTAAGGTGATTGATCCTACTACACTGATGTGTTGATCTAATTAAGACTGTGTTTTTTAAAATGTTTATTGCTATCGTTATTTAAAAAAATCTTTTATCTGCATCTACGTCACTTGGAAATTCATAATGAAGCATCAATTTGTAAAATTAAAAAATTATATATAAACTTTATTCATAATTAGTTATTTAGTTTATTCTTCAAAGTAAATCAAAAACCTGAAACATACTACTAAATATTTTACAAATTTGATTCTTGATTATTCATTTATAAAAAATGATGTAGGACTTTTTATCAGTTATAACTTTTTTCGTAAAATAACAATTTTTTTATATAATAATAATTTCTCAAAATGTTACAAAAAATTTAGTAATGGAGAGAGATTTAGGCCATTTTTACATATAAAACCTCTTAATTAAAAATTAACATGTTAAAATACCACATACGAATAAAGGAAACAGTAAAATATATATAAATACAATATTAATAAAGTGGTTGACAGTATTAAATACTGGCTTACTTTTAGTTTGTGTTTAAAACTTGAGCGATAAGAACTATTTTTTAGATCAATGTGTCATTCATTATAATGTTTAATAGCATTATACGTAAAACTCCTTACAATGAGACACACTGTATATCACTATCGCAAGGTCTAGTTTCAATTTTCAAATCGGAATTTATCCCGAAGTCGTACATGCTACTTTCATATGGCACAATCATAACGTGAGTAATATTTGTCTAATTTATAATTTTTTTCTTTGTTTCAGAACTTCCTGCGGAAGAAGGTAAGTACGCGGTTCTAATTACGTTAACGAGCTGGACAATTGAACTCTAATTGGCGGCAAAACGTAAGTCTGAAAACAGTTATGTTATGTTTTAGCAAAGCACATATTAAAAAAAATAAAATTATTTATTCTGAAAATAGAAAACAAAACGTATTATATAGTATATTACGTAATAAGAGTTGTAAGTAGTCGATTATGCTGCAGCGTCGACTTGCTTGAAATCAGAGGAAGAGAGGCAGGCTGGAATACAAGCCCGGTTTGGGGAAAGCCTGTCTGGACTTCTCGGGGGAGCAGAGGAATGCCTGTAAGGATAAAAAAAATAAAAAAGGGCATAAAATAAGAATTTTGGTATATTCCTATTTTGTGACTCGACCTTTTTTTTAAGTAAACTTTTGTGACTAGTATAATTTTTTTTTTGCTGATAATTATAACGCCAAAATATACTTTAAGAAAGCACTTAGTTTTATCACGAAATAGGTATATTTGTGGGAGATATTGATATAAATGTGTTGAAATTGTTGAAGAATATTTAAATGCACAGAGTGTTTCAGAATGTAATGTACATACGTTAAATGTAGGTGTGGGACACTTGTATGATTCAAAATCATCCGTTATTAATAGGTCTATCACATCTCATTGACTAAATACAGAGTGTTTTATGCATTTTGTCTGAATTTGTTTTTAGCCAAAACTCAACAACCACTCTGTATAAAAAGTTCAAATTTGGCAGGTAGACTCATTTTAATATAACAAATAACTATAATCCAGTTCCGGCTTAACAAAATTTTACCATTTTTTTCCGTTTCAAAAACAACACCCTGTATAAACAAATTTAGCATATCTGATTAAATATCTCAAAAAAGCGGAAAAAATCAATTTAGGTAGGTGTATTTTAAAATTTGCGCATGTCGTTTTAGAGGCACTAATTTTTTGATAAAAAATATATTTTTAAACATTTGTTACTTTCATAATTTAAAAATGATTGTTTGTTACTTTCCTTAACTATGAAACGGAGATGTTCTAAAGTACTCTAAAAATGACCCTGACTTTTGGTATCTAAACCACATATAATCGCATTGACTTACCTAAGAATTTTCTTTAAAACTAAACATATTTACATGTTTTCTTTCCGTTACCACCCGTATAACTAACACAAAAAAATAATGAAACACGTCACACTTCAAATATTGTTTAATTTTTTTGAAAGCTTGGTTTAAAATGATATAGATTTTTTATGAAAATACAATTATATGGTATATCATGTGACAGCATAAAGATACAAAGTTAAAATCATTTTTAAGTATTTTCTTCTAACGATTTTGTAAAAAAAATTGCGAAATTGTTCAGATAAACAGTTTTCCGAGATAAGGCCAGACGCCGCCCTTAATATTACTTTTTCAAGAAAGTACTTTTCAAATATCTCAATTTTACACTATTTCAGTCTTTGATTTAATGTTAGAATAAAGTGACCATATTTTAAAAAGTACAAAGCGGGCAAATCAAAAACATGGAGTTAAAATTCGAGACAGTTTTGTAGTGCTCGGTGAGCGTTCTTTGAATTATTTGGACAGAAGTGGCGCCATCTCGCGGTCACTTTAGTTAACACAAAACGCGGGAACATTCAAAATTCAAAAAGTGGTAGTCAAATTAAGATTTGTTCATACCAACTCCTTTTTTACGTTTATTTTAGCAATAAAATTATATTTGTTACAATAAAGCAAAAAATGAGTAGTATGAACCAATCCTAACTTGACTACAAGTTGAAATATTTTATTATTTATTAGTACAAAAAATTAAAAAGCATGATCAACAAAATTAATTTATTAAAACAAAAAAAACATACAAAATAGAATAATTAAATGTAGCGTGTTAATTAGCTGGAAAGTTAAGTCATTGTCTACAGAGGTTGCTTCCCTCATTAGGCCGTTTTGGCTTCCACGATGCAATTCTTCCACTCCAAACGGTTTGAAGAAAGTTCGTACTAGAAAAAAATAAAAAAACAGTATAAGTAACAATCTGAATTAAATCAATATAAAAATCAGATGTGTTAGGTAGCAGGGAAAGTGAGGCATAAATACAAAAAGGTAAAGTGACTATTACTTCCCTGATTAGGCCGTTTTGGCTTCCACACTGCAATTCTTCTACTCCAAACGGTTTGAAGAAAGTTCGAACTAGAACAAAATAAAAAAACAGTATAAGTAACAATTCCTAAATTTATTTAAATACGTTAATAAAATTTGGGTGTTATCCAATGAAATAATTCCTATTTCTTTACCATTTTAAGAATTAACGACTAAAAAAAAGCAAGTATGAAGGTGCAAAATTGTATCATTAATTAAAAAAAATATGGTAGTGCTATTTGAAAAATGGATATTAGGGATGGTTTCTAGGGGAGTTGGGCATGGATGTGATTTTGAGTTTGCACTGTAAAATATTAAAATATTGTATTTTGTCAAATAACTTGGTTATTCTGGCTCAAAACCTGTGATGCCAAATATAAACTATCTAAAAACTCTCCTTATTTTATAAATTTGAAACAGAAGATATAAAGGACAAGGTACTTGGGCTTTAAAAACATAGTGAGCATTACCAAGAGAATAAAAAATAAAACAAAAAAAATTAGAAAAACCATGATGGGACACTACAATGAGAGAAAAATGCAAATCTTACCAACAGTAAAAGTTGTTTTTTCTGAAGATTGTTTCAAACCTTCACAACTAGTTGAAGCCTCAGAATATGTAACCAAATTGTTTTGATCAACATGCTCGAAATGTATATCATTCGAAGTTGAAGGAAGTTCATCTGGTACATGATCAAGACACAGAACTTCCGATTCTGAGAGGAATAATGTTGGATATGCTTCAACAATTAGACCTCTGTGAGTTTCAGGAACTTTAAATTTATCTTCAAAATGTTTATCACATACTAAATAGTTTTTACGAATTTGTTGTGCCGTTTTATTATTCAAAAACGGACTGCGAACAGCCAATACCCAAATTTGAAATAAATCATTATTAGGATCGGGTTTGGGAAAACGATGCCTTCTCAGAGTGTTTACAAAACAATTCGACACACAACAATACGGCATATTTCAACTTTTAAACAAAAAATCACCACAAAAATTTAAAATAAGCTCACAATTGTAAACAAGATCAAGTAAACAAAATGAAAATTAAAAACACAATTGAACAAGACAATAAACAATAATTTAGAAAATACTACTTATTCATCCAGGATCCAGGACACTCGCAAATAAAAACAATTAAACAATGTGTATTGATAATATTATGATATTAATCACAATAACTACTGGTAATGGATGCTAATGACCAATTACAAATGACACTCCTCCCCCCATCAATTATGGATTTCTGTAAATTATGTGTACAGCGCCATCTAGAATTCGTTCTTTGAAACCAAAACATAGTTTCAGTTCGGGCTATACCAGTTACCGATACCTGAGTCATATTGCTGAATTCCCCATAAAATTACCTTTGCGACGATGTGTCATACTTGGTTACTTGGTACTTTCCCTATGTAAATTATTGTAATTGGTTAGATTGATGTAGGGGAGAGGAATGACATATGACAGTTGAGGATAATATAGAAAGGTGTCCTTCTTGAAATAAAAATCGATCTGTTTTGCTTTTCTTTTAAAAAAATTCTACTTCAAGATATTTTTAGATATGGCCGGTCGTCACCCTTACTGAATTACCCTGTAGAAAAGGTATAAAAAAATTAATTAATAATACCGGTCTATTTATGAAAAAATAGAGTTAAAGGTGGTCCTGGAATTACGAAACGTAATAACAAATTTTGGTGTGAGGGATTATTGAGAATTTTGTTTATAATAAAAACTTTTTTTAACTTTTTTTTTTTAAATATCAGTGGAATATCGTTTGACACTAATTAATAAAAAAAGAAAACGCATCAAATTTTATTTTTTTAACACCCTGTATTTTGAAAACGAAGCGACATTCTAAAAAATTTTATACCATATTTTCGTCTTAAAATTACCTTAAATTTAAATTTAACAAAGGTATAAAAACAATCGATATAAATTGGCTAGATTTGTATTAATTTCCAAAAATACAAATTAACTTTAATGCTTCTGATTTCCTATTTCACTACACCTTTGGTTTAATACTATTTAAATAAAATAATATCGAACAAACACGTTTTACTGGATCAAAACCGATTGGTGTACGACACAAAAAAGCATGTCATTCACCTTCACTTAAAAAGAGTACATTCTAGAAATTCACCAGTTACAAAATTAAGATCGTAACCAAACAACCGTATTCAGAAACGGAGACTTCTTATCAAGCGTAATAAAATCTGCTTGATTGTAATTTGATTCAATATTACATTATTAAATATAAGCCGCTAACGTTACATAGTTAGTGTAAACGAATTAGTAAAATAATAACTATAAAATAGAACATCCTTGGATTTTGATCGGATCATTATCAGTGTAAATAATTTTTGTAAACATTTCGCTATTTAAGATAGGCTTTGGTGCAATAAATGGCGCTTTTAATTAAATAATTCTGTTAGTATTAATAATTATGTTTTGATTTTTTTAACTTCTAGTTATATAGGATGAATGCATAATGAATATAATAATCCGGAAATGCTTTGTTCTTTATTTTATCCGGACACTTTTTTTGAAACCCCGCCCGGATGCTCCCAGGACATCCTTAAAACTAGGAACATTCGGGGAAACCCGGACGAATGGCAGCGCTATCTACACGTAACATATAAACCAGATTAAACATAATACTGCGAAATTAAGAGCAAACCGAACACTTGGAAAATTTATAATTCGTTCTGAGCCTTTATTGAATTGATTTTTTTGCAAACCTTCGAAAAGTATTTTTTATTTTGCAAATTTTTAAAAGGCATTAAAAAAAAATTCGCCCCATTCTGTATTAAATTTATGAAAATTTGCTGCTTTTTGTTTCAATAAATATCTAGTAGTTTTTAAATGGGAGGATTTC